CACACTCCTTAGATCTTTAATGGCTCTAGAATCACCTCTAAGTCCTCCGTTAGCATTGGCGGCAGTGTAGACGAGAGTGTGTGGTCTCTAATCGCTCGTCTCAGTTAGGAAACATGGAAGACCGGGTGTAGTGTGGTGATGGTGGTAACTTCAAACGGTAGGTCACTGCCCTGATGTGTGTCATCACCTCATAAGGCCCAAAATATCTTGGTGAAAGTTTCTCGCTCCTCCTAGCCAATATCTTCTGTCGGTAGGGCCTCAGCTTCAAGTTGATCATGTCCCTTGGTTTGAATTGCACCTCTTTCTTGTGTCCATCCACTTCCCACTTCATGATTTGTTGAACCCTCAGAAGATGCCCCTTAAGCTTTGCTAGTATCCTATCCCTCTCCTCCAAGTACTGATCAACACCGGTTACCGGTTTAGTTCTATACCTATAATGTATCCAGTGAGGTGGATCCCACCCATACAATATCTTGAAATGAGTTGTCTTTGCTACGATATGGTACGAAGTATTATACCAATATTCGGGTCATGCAACCCACTTAGCCCATAACTTCAGTGTATCACATACAAAACAACGCAAGTATGTCTCCACTCTTCTGTTGATAACCTTCGCCCACTCATCTGTTTGGGGATGATATGTCGTACTTCTTTTAAGGTCTATCCCTTACAACCTAAATAGTTCTTTCTTGAAGTGACTGAGGAACTACTTATTTCTATCGCAAACGAACTACTTTTCAGATAAACATCGCTGTGACCGATACCACAGTATGGGATGTCATAAGGGAATGAAATGTGTATATTTAAACGATCCACGACCACCATGATCACCGTGAAAATTTTTTACCGTGGCAACCCCTCGATAAAATACATCGTCACTTCTTCCCAAATCTTCTTCGGTAATGCTAATGGTTGTAGTAAGACTTTGGGGTCGTGGTCAAGTACTCGTGCCACTGGCATACTTCATATTTTTCCACCATGTCCACGTTTTTTAACATCTCTACCCAATAAAGCTCTGCAGCTAGACGACTGTAGGTCTTTTGCACTCGTGAATGTCCCCCGTCCACACTGTCATGAAACTTTTGTAATAATTTGGGAAAATACTCCGATGACTTTGGTAGCACAAATCGCCCCTGGTGGTGCAGTTGTTGACCCCTAAATGCATATCCTGGATGGTTGTTCAGATTCTGCAACAATTCAACCCTTATTTTCCCAGCTCGTCATCTTTTTCACTTTACTGTCTTAATGCCTCCCAATTTAGGACCAAGGGTACTGATAGGGCCGTAAATTGGGCTTCTTCCACATTTCTTGACATTGTGTTCAGCTGCTTTTTTCTCCAACCTTGGCTGGCTCTAAATCTCGAAATCATACCCGGTAGCTTGGATAGCCATATCTGATGCTCCTCAGTCACCATTCGCTGCTCTAGAAAATACTTTAAACTCCTTTAATCTGTTCCGATCAAGAAATGTCGTCCCAACAGGTAGAGCCGCCACTTCTGAATAGCAAAGGCAATTGCCATCATATCATGTTCATATACTGACATTAACCTTGCTTTGACTGTAAGAACCTGACTAAAGTAGGCATCGACTATTGATCTTGCATGAGCACTGCTCCCAATCCGTACCCCAACGCATTCGTCTCCACCACGAATGTTTCATTGAAATCTGAAAGTGCTAATATCGGTATGCTGGTCATGGTCCTCTCCAATTGTTCAAAGGTCTGTGTTGCTGCTTCTCCTCATTTGAAATTGTCTTTCTTCAATTGTTCTGTCAGTACTCATGCTATCGTGTCATATCCTCTCACGAACTTCCGATAGTAGCAGTGAAGACCCAAGAATCCTCTCAACTCTCAAATTCCATGGTAAGGGCCAATCAACCATAGCCTCAATCTTGAATTGATCCATTGCTACGCTCATTTTGGTCGTCACATGTCTTATGTACTCTACCTGCAACTTTACAACAGAACATTTCTTCATGTTAACATACAATTAGTGTTCCCTCAACATTTCCGGGATTGTTCTTAGGTGCCCCAAATGCTGTCTTTATACGGCTGTAGACCAGAATATCATCAAAGAAAATCAGGACAAATTTATGGGGATAAAGTTGAAAAACACTATTCATGACTGATTGAAATGTCGTTGGGGCGTTGATGAGGCCAAACGATATTACTTAGAACTTATAATTTTCTTCACGTGTCCTGAAGGCTATCTTCTGCTCATCTGATGGATTCATCTTGATTTGGTAGTAACTCGACTTAAGATCAATTTTTTAGAACATGACCACCCCATAAAGCTTATTCAGTAACTCATTAATCACAGGAATAGGAAACTTGTCCAACACCGGCTTCTTTTTCAAAATCCGGTAGTTCATGTAGAATCTCCAACTAACATCTATTTTCTTTACCAACAGGACGGGATTGGAAAAAAGGGCTTACACTAAGTCTGATAATCCCCGCCTCGAGCATCTCTCGGATTAGCTTCTCGATCTCATTCTTCTGAATCTGGGGGTGTCTACAAGGTCTGACGATGATTGGGGAAACACCCTCCTTCAATGTAATAGCGTGCTCATGTTCCCTCGGAGGAGGTAACCCGCTCGGCTGCTGGAAGACATCTGTAAACTGTTGTAGAAGCTGTTGGATCTTACCGAAAATTCTGCCAATTATGAATCTAAAATCTCCTCTGCAACCCGCATGGTGTTGCATAAGCTAGCATCTCCTCTCTGCACCACCTTTCTACCCTCCACTTTGAATTCCATCTTCAAAGACTTTTAATCCACCTTCATCTCCCCCAATGTTTGCAATCACTTCATTCCCAAAATCACATCCGTGTTGCCCAAATCTAAAGAAAGGAAGTCTTCCACCAACTGTATGTCATGTGGTGTCAGAGCTAAGCCCTTGCAAATTTCCTGATTTTTCTTCACCTTTCCTGTCCCAATCATGACGTTGAAGCTCTTTGTAGTCACCAACTCCACAACCTAATTTAAGATAAAGTTATGTGTGACCCCGCTATCCAGCAACATCAAAGTTGGGTGTTCCCCGATCCATTCCCTCACCTTCATGGTGTGATTTGGGGTAAATCCCACCACCAATTAAGGGACACCTCCGCCACATTCAAATGCAAATGCTCCTCCGTTGTTTCCTCTTCTGATTCCCCTCTCTCAGTATCATCCTTCTGAATTAAAAGAACCTAAAGCGAGTGCTCCTAACAACGGTATCTTGGGGCATATTTCTCATCACAACAGTAACACAATTTTTTAGCTCTTTTGTCCTGCACTTCTGTATCTGTGTGGCGCTTGAAATTCCCCTGGGTCGAGATCCAGTACTCTTCTCCTTCGGCATCTTTATCTGAAATGACACCGTCTGAGTTCTCGGTGTTGTGGTTGTCATGGTGCAGTTGTAAAAACCCTCGGTGTTGCCTCCTCTGTTGGAATTCTTAACATGTTTCTTATCCTCCATCATTTGGGCGAGCTCCATCATTTCCCTCAATCCACGTGGGCTCAAGGGGCGGATGACTGCTATGATGTCGGGCTTTAGGCTTTTCAAGAAGTTTACTTCCAGTCCTGTTGCAGCAATCCCCTCCATCCTCCCTGATAAGAGCTCAAACTTCTCTCGGTATTCCATAACCGTCCGCTCCCGAGTAAAAGCATAGAATTGCTCGTGTAGGTCTCCTTCCCGAATGGCTTGGAAACGCTCCAACAAGTAATCCTTAAACTCCTACCATGAGTGCATCGGAATAAGAGTTGTCCTCCATGGCTACCTCTCCTAGCACATCAACTTTTTTTTTGCCATCCCACCATGATCTGCGCTCTGATACCAATTTGACATGCCTTGGAACCAAATCAGCGAACAAATCACGACAAAATGACAATAGATAGGTGGAAAAAACACACGAGGGTTGCTCTTACAAAAGATCAAAGGAAACAAGTGAGATACAATGTTGATCTACTATTTGAGAGATAGATCGTCTCTCTCAAACCCTAGACATCGCTAGGAACGCTACAAGAAGAAAGAAAACAACAATCAAAACAAAACATGCATGAAAGAAGTTATACCCTAGGTTTCCCACTAAAAGAATCCTCCCTCAACATTGGAAAACTTTCCTTTCCCACCTTCCCTCCAAACCTCTTCTATTTTTTCCTCTTTGAATATGTGATTATGGCCCTAGTAGACCCCACTCGCTCCTTTCCTTCCTCTGCGCCTCGCCCGGATTACTCCTCTTCTTCCCACGACAAAGGCCGGCCCACCTGCGGGCTGGTTGGGAGGGACCGGCACTCGCCTAGTTGTACTGAGCGTAACGATTACATCTTCGAAGTTTTTAAGCATTGAGCCAGGCCTGACATTTTTTAATTTCATGGTGCATTGAACAAAGCCCAACATTTCTTGACCCCTTCAACAAATTTAGCTTTTTGTTCAGCCTTAGTTTTTTGTTATTGTTGTTTATTCTTGATTATTTCTTATTCTAAAAAATTTGAAGGGAAATTTAGAAACATACCACAGAATTCTTATGTATTTACATGTTTAACACATAAATTTTCATATTTACATTTATAACTCTTTGGTGTGATAAAGCTAATGCATGAAATGGCTTATTTCACTTTCAAAAACTAAATAATAGTAATATTTTTTATATGACATTAAAGATTTAAGAGCTATGTATGTAAATATGAAAGTTTAAATTTTACACATAAATACATAAGAATGGCTTGGTATGTATGCAAATGCCCATTTTTAATAGATCGTGTTTTTTTCAGCCTTGCATATTGGATTAGAGGCATTATTTTTTTCCTTAAAAGGATTTTTTTTTTAATTGCTTTTTTTTTATTTGCCCTTTTAAAATTTTTTAATTTACTTGATATTCTATACATTCTCATTATATAGCTACCATGCAAATAGATTTTTAGAAGATTTTCATTTTACCAGTGAGATATTAGATTGCAACATCAGTCATTGATGAACCATATTATGATCTAAAAGGAGCTGATACAATACTTTTGAATGCTCAGGTGGTTCATTCCTGTCAATGTTGTATTGGGTTCAATATCAGGCTCTGTGATTGGCTTTGTTGTTGCATCTATTGTTCGACCTCCGTACCCCTATTTCAAGTTCACCATTATACATATTGGGATTGGTAGGTCAGTTGCTTTCTTCAAATAATATATTGGTTTCACTTTGTTTTGAAAGACTTACATGCATTCCACTTAATTCTTATGTATTTACATATCTAACACATACTTCAATTTTTACAAACAAACCACCTTCCCTATGCATGAAAGTTGTATTTCTCTTATTTCGAAAAAAAAAGAAAGGTGCATTTCACTTTTTAAAGTTAAAATTGTGGTATTTTTGATGAGATATGAAAGGTTTGTGTGTTATAGAAGTAAAAATTAAAAATTAGGTTTTAGATATGTAAATACATAAAAATCTGGTTTCATGTATGTAAATGTCCTTTTTCTTTTTTACTTTCCCTATATGTGGCATGCTAATTTACTTTTCTGGTAGACGTTGCGTTCCTTTTATTTCTCAAATGTGCTTCTTACGTTGATACGCAAGACTTTTAAATCCTCTCTCTCCTTATTAGTGAGGTTGCCAATAACTTGAAGTGAATGTATCACCAAGTTTGAGAATGATGTGCCATAGTGTAAACATAAAAGAGAAAAAAATGACACAAGACTTTATGATTTATGTGGCTCAGCTTCAACCAAAAAATAAATAAATAACCTAGAGAGGTGATATGATCTGATCCATTAGAAAATGCAAAAGTTGTAATAGTGGTGTACAAAATGAAGCACTCTCTTTCTAGTTCCTAAGTTTAAATACAAATAAGAAAAAAATAGATCCCCAAAATTTCACAGAACCAGTCAGTCTTCTTGCATACACAACATCATTAAATCTCATGAACATAATTTGTGAATTCCAACAAGCAAAAGTGGATAGAGGTGAAAGGTGCGACGCCTCATGCGCTCGAATCCTAATATTGGGAAATCCTTATTTACACGTTTCCTTGACAAGTGGGGCATATGAGTCAATATAATTCTCTCTCTCTTCCTTCTTCCCATAACGCTCTATTCTTCTAATTTACACCCTTAGCATTACTCCGTTGAGTTCCTCAATTAAATTTGGGTGCCGAAACATATTGGATAGTTTTCAAACTTGCTGAATTAAAAAGAATGCAGTTTACATGTATTATAGAAAAGGTGATTTTGTTTAGGATGATTTACATACTGAGCACTCAATCCCTATGTATTTACATATCTAACCCCCAAACTTCAATTTTTGCATGCATGCAACCTTACCTATGCAGAAGGTGTTTTTCACTTTTTAAAAGTTAAAATGGTGGTTTTTTTTATGTGATATGAAAGATTTGGGTGGTATAATTGTAAAAAACAAAGGATAGGTGTTAGAAATGTAAATACATAAGAATTGGGTGGTATGTATGGTAAATGCCCTTCTATTTAGAACGACCCTGTTCCCTTGCCTATAGCTCCGCGTTAGATGAATTGTTGCCTATCACCTTTTGTATTTGTTATTTTGCATAAAGCTTGATTATTTTTGTGTGCAGGGAACATTGGAAATATACCACTTGTTTTGATTGCAGCTTTATGCCGAGACCAATCAAACCCATTTGGTGATTCAGAGAAATGTAGTCAGGATGGAAATGCTTATATCTCATTTGGCCAGTGGGTAGGTTCTCTGCTTGTTCCATCAGATGCAGCTATTTAGGTTTTTAACCATCTAATATATCTATGGCTATATATTTCGTTTAGCATCTAGTACATTGTGAGTTTTCTGGGAGAATTTATCTCAAAATAGTTATGTGGCTCACATGTGGCCAATTTAGTCATGTAGTGTTGACGTCATTTAGTTATCCTAGAATACTAGTTAATTGTGTACAATGAAATGAGTGTTGTTAGGCCAGTACATGCATTAAAACCCTTTACCCTTTTTCTTTGCATGGAGCAGAGATAGTAAATCTACAATTTTCAATGGATCAAAATAAAAGTGTTTTGCTTATGCATTCCTTTTCATGATTTTTTGGGATAACTTCATATGCATGCTGGTTTAGCAGCACTCGAGATTATTGAGGATAAAATGTATATTGCATGTTATCTATCCTCATTCATTAATCAATTCAAATTTTAGGTTTTATCAATGCGAAAATATTTGTGTTGCTCCATGTATCGCGGGCTGCAGTTGTCCTGTTCATCTTTATCCAAACTTTAAATTTTTTTGCTTCCATTATGTGTTTTAATATCCTGAGCCTTTCTCAAATTGATTGAATAAATATGTGCTCTGCATCTTTTTATTTTATTTTATTTTATTAGTGATCTTATTATTATTTTTTTCATAAATAAACTTTAGTCCTCTTTATCCATTGCTCAAATTATTTGATTTTTTTTCACTTTTACTTTTTAATTTTTTCTACTGGAAATGTTAGAACTATAATTGAATGTCAGGTTGGCGCAATTATACTGTACACCTACGTTTTTCAAATGCTCGGTCCGCCTCCTGGCGGTTCATTCGACGACAATGAACAAGAAGAGCTTCCAAGTAAGAGACCGGCTAATAATGCCAGTGCAGAGCAAGTACCTTTGCTTTCTTCGGACGAGCCTGAAGAAACAAACATGCAGGCTTCAAAAAGAGAAAAAGTAAGTGAAAACACATTTTAGTGTTAAATAATAGTTAACATTACTACAGCGCAATGAATTTAACCTAACAATCAGATAATAAGCAGGACATTCTTCCTTTCTTGAGTTCAGTTATTTGTTATAATCGTTTTGGCTGTATTTTACTTGAGAAAGTATAAAACAGTCCCTAGATTATTTATGGTGGTGATTTTAGTCCTAACTATCTAATGTGTCCAATTGGTCCCTTGACTCAAGGATAGGATCGAAATTAAACATTTAGCTCGTACATCTTACCCAAAATAATTTATTAAAGGTACTATTTTATATCATATTTAAAGGATTAAGGGATTTAATCTAATACATTCATAATCTGAGACTAAAATGACTCCATAAAAATATTCTAAGGACCGTTTTGAAATTTTCTTGTTTTACTTCAACTTTAAACAATCAAACCATTTATCTTTTTGTATTTAAATATCATTTTTCTTAGAATAACATCGCAGCTTTGTTTTCCTTATGAAAGTTCTATATGATTCAGCTCTTATATTTTCCTTGTGCAGATACTTTTCCAGCTACGTCGTCTTGCTGAAACACTAAAGATTAAACAGATTTTGCAACCGCCAATCATTGCCTCGGTAAGTAATAAAATTTTGATTTTGTACACTTCACTATTGAGTCCTTAACGAATCATTTTAAATCACTCCCGGGCTCAATAGAACAATAAGTAGGGAAGAAAATTAAATTTCCATTGCCTTTTCTTTTCAAGAACCGTCATGCCCAGCTTAACTAACCTTCTTTTAAAAGAACTAATATTAGATAAATATTCCCACCCAAAAGGTCTCCTTGTGTATAATTAGTAATTTTATATTAGAATTGGAAACCTCTTACAGCATTTTCTTGATTATAAACTTTTTTTAAATACTCCCACATATCTCTGACTATCTTATATTGCCTTAGATTAAGAACAATTACTCAATCAGCAGACGTATGATCTATGTCCATAATCTTGCTTTTTATGTTACCATTGAGCCAATTTTGGACATTCAGTAGAGCATGATCGCGTTCTCCTCAATTTATCCTCATAATATCTTCCTATAATCAAAATTGAAATTTCAAGGCATAATAATTTTTACTTGTATTCCAAAGACGGTCAAACTGCCGTTTAATATGTTTGACATAGTTGGCATAATTTTTAAATCTCAAAGTCACATCTATTTTAAATTCAAGCCTAATTGAAGCAGAGCATGAGTGGGTTGGTACGATGGCCAAATCACGAACAGGTCAAGATGGATGATTCAAACTAGCATTGTTGTAGGTGGTCAAAGTGGAGATATTTCATTTATTTCGTTCAAGCTGCCGTGTTGAAGCATATCACAATGCAACGGGATCAATCGTAAAACAGTGGGTGAAGCGGCACTATTGTAGAATATCGAGGTCGAATGAAAGACGAGAAATAACTTTTAGCATTGGTTGCGATATTGATGCGATCCAACGTAGAATCGACACTAATTTTCATAAAAATTAGGGAACAAATATTTTTATTCAATAACATAAATTCAAAGCAATACATCACTAAAAACTCTCACAGACACATAAGATATGCAAGTACAATTCGAGAGGTAGACGATCTCTCTCAAATCCTGCTATTTGAGAGGTAGCAAGTCTCTTATAAATCCTAAATCTAAGACTCACAACAAAATATCTCATGCATACCCCTAAACCCAAGCCTATTAGGTTCTATTTATAACAAGCAATAATAAATAATAAATGACTTAATTGCCCTTAGGCCCATAAAAGACAAAATTGCCCTTAGAATAGGCCCCGACATAATAATACTCTCCAAAAAAACATATTGTCCTCAAGGTGGAAAAAATAAAGGTGTTCTTCCTCCACATCTTCCTCTAACTCCTCACTTCCTGCTCCGCCTCCTCACAAACTAAAAGGACCTGGAGCGTGCGATCCTTGCACCAATGGCTTGGGGCATACTTCTCATCACATCAAAAATATAATATCTTTGCTCTCTTGTCCTGCACCTCTACTTCTGTGAGGTGCTTGAAGTGGCCCTCGAGACGGGCCCACATATTCATCTATTTCGGCATCTCCTTCTGAGAAGTCACCGTTTGGATCCTCAGTGTTATGGTTGCTGAGATAATTGTGTGGAATTATCTTATGGTTTCGCTTTTGTTGGTCTTCTTTTTCTGGTTTTTGTATTTCACTATCTGGGCAAGCTCCTGGGTCTTTCTCATTCTCGATGGTCTCAACCATTTGAGTGTTGCCCGTATGTCTGGATCTTATTCCCCATGGTCTGAATCATTTGAGTGCTGCCCGTATGTCGGGATTTAGGCCTTTCATGAAGTTTCTCTTCAATCCTGCATCAGAAATCGTCCACAGCAGCTGCTTGAATCTCTCCCAATATTCCATGTCAATCCCCTCCTTAGTCAAGGCATATAATTGCTCGTGTAGGTCTTCTTTTCTAATGGCTCGGAAATCTCACCATAAATAATCCTTAAATTCCTCCCACAAACTGATCGAGTATCCAGTCTTCCTCCACGGAACCAAGTTAGCTCTTTTCCCAACTGTATCACCGTTCTTGGCTTCCCCGCTAGCTTTAATTGGAATTGTATCATGACGAAGCAAGATGGAATGGAAGGTTTGGGTCTTTGTTTGCCATGCTGTAATCCTTTAGAAAGGGTTCCTCGTAATCAGAAGTGTCGCGTTAACTCTGCACGCTACGTTGGACTATGGTCGTTGCGGTTGGATTTGATGTCGATATAAGGGCACCGTGCAAAAATCCAAAAAGCCGCAATCTGGAATTTTTGTGCACGGTTTGCCTCGAAACTTTGGATGCTATAAAACTTTGCTGGTCTTCGCTGTCTCGTAAAAAAAAATTCTTGTATGTTGCAATCTTGATTGTGAGGATTCAGTGTGTCTACAAGCTGGGATCTCATAATTGATCTCCCATGAATCAAATGCTTTGATACCACTTTGAGACGATCCTATGTAGAAATCGGCACGAATTTTCACAAAAATTAAGGCAAATAGATATTTTTCTTCAATAAAATCATATCAAAACAATTCAACACTAATAATTCCCATGAACACATAAGATAAGCACCTACAATTCGAAGTGTAAGTGATCTCCCAACTGCTATTTGAGATGTATGAAGTCTCTCCTAAATGCTAGAATTAAGACTCACAACAAGCAATCTAATGCATATCCTTAACCGTAAGCCTATTATGGTCTATTCTTAATAAGCAATAGTAAATAATAAAAGACTCAATTACTCTTAGGCGTGTAAAAGATAAAATTGCTCTTAGGCTAGGCACCAGCGTACATCTATCATGGCAAATAAAAGTTGTGTAAAAACAGCTTGTTCCCTTCTAGTAGTTTTAGTCATTATATTAAAAAAATAGGTAACATACAAGCGATGATTGACTGATTTGCTCATACATATTTGCCTTAATGAAATTAGATACTTATATTTCTAAACTATGTATACTTACAATTTTTCTATGACTTATTTATTTTTAGCCATACTTTACTTGTAATAAATGCCTATTTTAACAGGCTTCCGCAAAGTATTATTTTTATTTTAGGTGAAAAGTGATGGCTCATATGACATTATTCTTCCGTTGATTAAGATAAAAATGCTTCATTTTAATGATTGTGAAGGAGTGATCTTGGTCGATATTGAGTATTTTTTTATGTTGAATGTAATGATTAGTTGGATAATAATTAATCGGCTTATAGTGTTGGACCAGAATGTGTAATTGTTCATCAATGTTTTACTTAAAGAAGCTTCTACTGTTGATCATACTTTAATCTCTTTTATTTGTTTCTCTATAATCATTTGAAAACAGGTGCTGGCAATTTTCATTGGTGCTATACCATTCCTGAAGCAGTTAATTCTCACGGACGACGCGCCTTTCTTTTTTTTCACTGACAGCTGCTTAATTCTTGGGTAAGACTTCTCTCAGGTCTTATTTTGGTATGCATATTTCTTCTGTTTGAAAAATATTGCTATCTTAATTTGAGTTTAGAAAGACTATTTATCTGGCTTGATTCCTATTTTTCAATTTTATTGAGTTTTATTTTAGTTTGTATTCCAAGGAAGAAATTGAGCTCAGCAGAGCCCATGGCGACCACTTTTATACAAAATGAAGAGTTTCTGATGCTGTTTTTGTTTATAAATGGAGCTGGAATTTTTACCACCGATGAACGGATTATGGAGCTGAAATGTTCTGATCTAATTTTTAAAAAATAATATTAATTAATCAAAATATAATAACGTAAGTAAAATATATTATTTATGATTTTATTTAATAAATTAAATTTTAAGTTGATTAAATTAATATTGTAATGAGTTACTATGATTTTTATGCTTAATTAAATTTATAAAATCATATTTAATTCTTAATTAAATATTATGTTTTGTTCGTTATAGTAAAATCATAATAATCAATGATTAGTAAGTTACTATTTAATTATTAGTTAGCTAAAAATTATAATGAATGATTAACTACATTAATAATCTTTTAATTAATGATTATTATAGTTAAAAGAAATAAAAAATAATTAAATTATACAATTAGATTTAAATTTCAAAAGAAGTTATCAAAAAGTTTCACGCGATTTAACAAGTTTTAACATTTGTAATGCGAATTGGTTTATAGAGTTTTAACCATTCCAAGATTCACGGAATCATTAGTTAAATCCTAGAATATGTTCTTAAGAATTTTATCTAAAGAATTAAAGATTCAAACAATTTTGTTGAAATCTTTTTTTAAGAAATTAGTTAAATCTCTCTTAAGAGTTTTTTCTTTTAATTATTTTGGGAGGTGTGTGCTTCTTTGTTGTGGTGACATTATGTACTTCGGTTTGCGGAAGAGTATTTTCTTATGCCCTTGTTTTGCTCGTTTGTGGGTTCTCTTTGTAGTGGATCTGTTTCACTCTCTTCTCCTGTGAACCCGTGCTTGTTTTAGCCAAACCGAGCAAATCTTCATGTCTTCTTGTGATGCTTGATCTTTTTGGAATTTCCTTATTGTAGTTGCTTCTGGTTGGCTTTTTTTGCATTAAAGTTGGGTGATTTTCTTTTTGCTATGACTAGCATAAACTGTTGCAAAAGCATCCTTCTGATGCAGGATGGTAATTTTAGTACGTCACTTATTTCCTATGAAATTACATATCCACCAAATCCCTCATATCACATCAAAACGGCACAATTTTAACTTTTTAAAAGCGCTTGCATCATTTTATGCATGGATAAGGTGGTATGTATGTAAAAACTGAAGTTTAGGTGTTAGATGTGTAAATATGTAGGAATTGAGTGGTATGTATGTCAATCTTTTATGTTTTTTTCTCTTGTTAAGATCAGAAATAAAATAACATTCATCACTATCGATAAAGCATGATGCTTATATATTTTTATCAGATTTAAGTTATCAGTATGGTTAGTTTCTTAACAATGCATGTATTGAATTTGGTCAGGGATGCCATGATTCCTTGCATTTTGCTTGCGTTGGGAGGAAATCTTGTTGATGGTAAGCGTTTTCTCTTACTGTTTTTTGCATGCTTAAGTTTTTCATTAGCTTGGCAAATTTGTTCACCTTGCTGCCTTTTGACGGATTTAATTGAGATTTAACTCAAATCTGCCAGACACTAAAAAGGGCAAATTTTAATTCCTGAATTTTGTGAATCTAGTTCCTTCTCAGTTACTCTATTGCATCTTAAATCCCATACCTACTTAGGCTCCGTTTGGGGCAGCTTATCCGATGCGGCGGCATTTTGAAAACACCATCTCACCGTTTGAAAAATGTGTTTGAACAACTTATTCGAAAACACAGTTGGATTTTTACTCCAAACACGGAACGCAGGTCGAACCCGCAATCCGCGTTTCTAGATAAGCAGCTTATCTGGATAAACACAAGCTGCTCCAAGCGCACCTTAAACCCTAGTGTTGACAGGATTTAGTAAATCCCACATTTACATGATTTCCTGTGGTTATTGTGTCTCTGTTGCTCTTCTAGATGCTGATAAAGGACCTTATAATATTTTCTACAGACATGCACAAAATTCCTATAAATACATTATGGCTCGAGCTACACTAAATATAGACCTTAAAATCATTTTATGTTCATCTTTGAATTATTTCTTTTATATTTTCATACAGGTCCTGGTGCAGGAAGTAAAAAGCTTGGTTTTCGAACAACTGCTGCAATTATATTTGCACGATTGGTTATAGTTCCTCCCGCTGGGCTTGGTATTGTCACCTTGGCTGACAAGCTTGGCTTTCTTCCAAAGGGTGATAAAATGTTCAGATTTGTGTTGCTGCTCCAGCATACAATGCCTACTTCTGTGCTTTCTGGTAATAGGCCATCCCATATGTTATTAGTACACCAAAATGTTATAAATATAAACATTAAGGACCCAGTTGGGGCAGCTTATAAGTGCGGAAACGCTGCCTCACCGTTTGGAAAACACCTTTCGGCAACTTATCCGAAAACGCAATTGAGTTTTTATACTAAAAGCAGGCCGTGACCGCGTTTCAGGATAAACTGCTTATCCGTATAAGCACAAGCTGCCCCAAACGCACCCTAAATTTTAGACGTCAGACATGCAAATACATAAACATTGCGTTATACTTACGTAAATTTTCCTAAATATTTATCGACGATTTATTTTTCCTCGTCAATCCGACAATAATTTTATTTGCACAAAACATCCCAAAACTGATTGCAGGTGCTGTTGCAAATCTGAGAGGATGCGGAAAGGAGGCAGCTGCTGTTCTATTCTGGGTTCATATATTTGCAGTAATCTCCATGGCTGGATGGATCATTCTTTATCTGCGCCTTCTCTTTTAAGTTTCTTGCAGACACAACTGCTGCTTTGGTAGGAGCTCTCAATTCTTTTCCTTTTCCACACTGCTGTGAGCGCCATGATTTTTTTTCTATTTTTAGTAAAAATTAGATTAATTTGAAGAGTCTGTGTATATAGGTTTTAGAATGCCTGAATGTTTTATCATTTTGTATCTTTTGATGTGTCATAGAGACCACATCTGATTAGGAGGAACTGTTTTAGAATGCTGCTTGTAATGTATTTCATGGCCTGTGATTAGGATTATTGAACTGTTTAATTTTTTTTTTTTTTTTAGTTCATGGAATATTTGGTGATAGATGTAAAAATTGAAGTTTAGGCGGTAAAAAATTGTGATATTTTTTATATGGTAGGAAAGTTTTGGGCGGTATAAATGTAAAAAATAAGTGTGGGTGTTAGATGTGGAAATACACGAGAATTAGGGTGTGAATGAGTCGAGTTGAGTTACAACTGACTCTGCCTTGACTTGGCGATCGAATAGCATGTTCAAATTCATCGAGTCGAGTTGATATGTTGAGTTAAACCTCGGCTTATCAGTAGAAGCGAATGTCAAGCTTAGCTTGGGATCACAATTTTTTTTTTTTATTTTTTTTTTTTTTGGGTAGAAATTCTATGGGTGGTATGTATGTAAAAAGAAAAATTAAAGTTTGTGCTAGATATGTAAATACATAGGAATTGGGTGGTATGTTTGTAAATGGTACTTATTCCAATATGATGAAATTATTACCATTAATTTCATAATTTTGTATTATACTCAAACTTATATTTACTGATAGGAATTTAATAAAGAAGCTAAATTAAGGGATTAAAGAGATTTAAATAAATAGTACATAAAATATTAAGATTTATGTATATCAGATATAAAATTTGCCATATATATAAATGGTGGCGTTGGTTCGAGCTCTGCTAGGGTTTGCTTTGGTTGCGATTACGTGGTGCCATGCGTAGTTTCGTGCCGATGGAGAGATCTTATGCCGACGTTACTGATGGAGGTTCCTCTAATGGTGGCTCTAATAAGTTAGTCTTCCCTCCTGCTTTCTATGATTCCCTTGTCCTCATAGGTGAGTATGGTTTTATTAAAAAATTGGGTAAAAAGGGGGGAAAATTTGCTCTTTTTCTTTCTGAATCCGAAAACAATATCCTTGTTTCGTCGTGTCATTATCATTTGATGGGAAAATTTGTCTTTGGCCACCTAAAATTAGAGTTTCTTTGCAAACATTTTGAGCTCATGAATCTGGTCGGTGGTTGGCAAATTGGGGCTTTGGATGGTACACACATTTTGATTCAACTTTCAAATGAGGACGATTATGCTAGACTATTTGCTCGACGCATTGTTCAGTTTGAGGACGTTATGATGAAAGTCTTAAAGTTGTCCATGGATTTTGATCCTCAAGTAGAACTCCCTGTAATCCATGTTTGACTTCGTCTTCTTGGTTTGAAGGTGCATCTTTTCAATCATGAGATTTTATTTTTATTAGCTGCTATGTTTGGTAAACCACTAATGTTGGATGCTCCAACCTTTAACTTAACGAGACCCTCGATGACAAGAATTTTGATTGAAAGGGATTTTACCTTGCTGCCTCCAGATGAGGTTTGGATCGGTTCAGCTCACAACGGCTACATGCAACAAGTATTTCTTGAAAAACATCCCTCCTACTGCTCTCATTGTCGAATGTTTGGTCATGGCTCTGTGCAATGTTTTCACCTACACCTGGAGTTGTGGGAGAGAAACGTGGGGCAAAACACTTTTGCTATAAAAATATCGAGGAGGGCACACCTCCGTTGCTAGCACCGACATTGAGGCAGGAATTGCTTGGTTTCGAATTTGGAAGCTTCATAAGAATGTAGTTTTTGATTTGAGAGCTTGGAACTGGGATGTTCTCGGTGATGTCCATGCTAGAGTGATTAAAGCTGAACAACGAGTTAATATGTTACAAGCTCTTGATGAATCTACTGCTGATCTTGTTCCTTAACTTTTGGAGGCACATAAGGATTTGTTGGAAGCTTCTATGTGGGAAGAAGAATTGTTACAACACAAAGGAGGGGAGTTGCACTTCACCTAAGGTGATAGAAATACGAAATACTTTCATGCATGCATAAAACAACATAGAGCTATTAACATTATTGTCCGTATTAAAAATGAGGATGGAGACTAGGTAACAGGTGACCTTGAGTTGGGTGAAAGTATTGTTAAATACTTCAATAATCTTTTCCAAGCTCAACAGACTACGAGTGATATTGACGCTCATTTCTTTAATGATGTTAGAAACTATACTGGGGGATTAGATCTTTGTGGTATTCCTGATGAAGCGGGAAATCTTCGTTGCGTTCTCAGATATCAATTGCAATAAAGTTGCTTGTCTGGATGGGTTTACTTCAGATTTCTATATCGAATGCTCGGGCATTATTTAAAAAGATGTGGTGGAGGCCATTCAGAGCTATTTCAGGGGCGAGGCTTTTGGAAATTATTTCTCCGCTGCCACTATTGTTCTTATTCCTAAATCGACACATAAAAGTGCTTGGGAGCACTTTTGGCCTTTATCTATGACTTATATGGTCACAAAAGCTATTAGCAAATTTCTGATGAAATGTATTCAACCTCATTTGCATCACATTATCTCTCTCAACCAATCGACTTTTATACAGGGTCGAGGAATTACCGACAACATTATGTTGGCTCAAGAGTTAATCTATGATATTGATAAGAGATGTAGAGGGGGAAACTTAATTATTAAACTGGACATTCACAAAGCATATGACTCTCTAAGTTGGGAGTTTATTTTGAAGGTGCTTAAAGATAGAGGTTTTCCTACTGCCTTTTGTAAGCTTATTCACACCTGGTTTATCTCTAGTTATTATAGCATCATTATTAATAGGAATGCGCATGAGTTTTTCTCTGTGGGTCATGGGATTAAACAGAGGGTTCCCATATCACCTACTATATGTATTTTGGTCTTTGATTACTTCTCCCGCTTATTTAATGAACTCTTCACAAGAGTGCCCTCTCTCCATTTTGCAAGCAAATCCAAGGTTTTTGTTTCTCATTTGGCCTATGTGGATCATGTTATACTATTTTCTAATGCTTGTAAGAAGAACATCAAGGAAATCTGTCAAGTGTTGGAGGATTTTCAGAGTGTTTCGAGTCTCCAATTTAGTGCTAGCAAATGTCATATATATATACGGGGAAGTCTGTTGATCGTGGAAAAGCTGATTGGATTGCCACTTTTATGTGGTTCTCTTTCTTCTCTTCCTCTTAAATATTTGAGGGTTAACCTCCTCAAAGGGAGGAGGAAACAATCTCAATTGGATGAGGTGGTGGAAAAAGTGCGTAATAGGATGCTTGATTGGAAACATAATTTTTTGTCCTTCGGGGGAAGGATCACTGTTCTTAGGAGTATTTTGCAACGTTTGTCTTTATATGTTTTGCAATTAATACACATTAAAAAGAGCACACGGCAGGTTCTTGAACAATGTTTTAATAAATTCTTATGGGCTGGTGGACATTCGGGTAGGAAATAACTATCTTGGAAAAGGGTCTGTAAACCGACGTATGCGGGTGGTTTGGGTTTCAAACAGCTTCATCACATCACATATATAAATTATTTTAAACTCTGGTTTAATTTTCGGAAAGGAGAGTCCTTGTGGGCTTCCTATATGCTCAGTAAATATTGTCATAAAACTAATCATTCATTAGTCTCTTGGAGTACTGGTGATTCTAAGGTGTGAAAAAAGCTATTTCAAATTTGTGAATGGGCCAAGACATTTATTTTTTTGGATTTGGGTTGCGACAATATCTCTTTTTGGCAGGATTTGTTGTCTCGGGTGCCTTCCATTTGGGGGAGGCTGCTCATGGTAATCTTCTTGTTTTTAATACCTGACTACATGGTGGCTGGAATATGCCTTCACTTGTACAACATGCGGGGGAGGATAATGCTAAATTTATATCATTTATTCCATTCGAGCCACTTAAGAAGGATGTTCCGATGATTACTATTTGGAGCCCGACTTTAACTCACTCTATGTCATTTTTGGCGTGGTGGATGTTTCGTAAGGTGATCCCGTGCGATGATATTTTAAAATTAAAAAGTTTACGTATACCTTCTAGATGTCTCTTGTGTAAAGAGGATGAGGAATCTATTGAATACATATTTTTCACGTGCCCTTTTTCTTTGCAAATTTGGAGTAACTGAGGGCTTTGGTTTGGTACTGCTTTGACCCCGGCTCGAGATCTAATTAGCTCGTGCCACATTTGCAATCTGGATCGTAAGAGTAAGTATTTTCTACAAAGCTACCCTTATATTGTTTGTTGGTTTATTTAGATTGTCTGTAATGATATTAAATATGAGAGTAAAAATATTTCGTTTGCCAATGATTTTTCTAATATCATTGTGTATATTCATAAAATTATGAGATTGTGTATAGTGAATGATGCTTTCTTTTATGGTATACCCTATTTTGAAGCTTGGAGGCATCCTAATCAAGCTCGAGTGAGGATACCGCAACTCCCAACCTTGGTGAGATGGCGGCCTCCTCCAAGCGGGCGGGTTAAATTTAACACCAAAAGGAGTTGGAAACCCTCTTGTGCTGTTATTGAGAGAAGAGCCCGTGATGTTGATGGCAAGTGTAAGCTCTTTTTCTCTTCCCCTTCTATCACCGATAATCCTTTCAAAACTGAAGCTAGTGCGGTTTTAATGGCCGTCTCTATTGTTGCCATGTGTAATTGACAGCAGATTTTGATTGAGACTGATTTTAAAATTTTAATCGATAGTATGAAAGGGGTCAGAGCGGTGTAGTGAGACATTTATTATTATTTCAAATGAATCAAACAAGTTAATGAGCATGTCCGTATCATTTGGCGTTTCACATTTAGAGAGGGAAATAGAAAGCTTTCATGTTGAAACTTCTAATTTACAAATCAACAAATTTAAGCATTTAACAACATTGTGGGCGTTTGGTCTAGTGGTATGATTCTCGCTTTGGGTGCGAGAGGTCGCGAGTTCGATTCTCGCAACGCCCCATTTCTATATAATTTCATTATTGACATTACATTTTTTAATTATATGTATTTTAAATAATATTAAGAATATTATTCATAGTATCTTTTTAATGCAATATATCATTTCATTAATATATGTTTATAAATATATAAAAATCAATATCTTATATACAACTATTATTTGTAAATATATATGGTTTGGGTGGTACGTATGTAAATGTCCCCTAAAAAAATATTATTTACATTGGCTAATTATTGTTATCATTGTAATTAAGAAAAAAGCATTAATTTTAATAATCATGTAAGTTGTACAATAATAAAATAATTTATTTCTAGTATTATATAGTACCGAGCAGGGCTGTCAAAAAAGCTCGTGTTCGGCTCATTTTTACACGAACAAGTTTTTAAAGTTCGAATTATAAACGAGTCAAATACGAGCGAACAAAGAGATGTTCTTGTTCTGCTTTTTGTTCGCTCGTGTTCAGTAATTATAAACGAGCGAACAAAGCCGAACATGAACATCTCTTTGTTTGCTCGTGTTCGGCTCGCTTTAGTTCGAAAAAGAAAATTTATATAATTATTTATATAATAATATATTACACATATTATTTATATAATAATATATTATACATATTTATATCTATGTTTAAATTGAAATTACTTTGTAATGTGGTTATGGGCCTTGTTTTATATATATTTGATCGAGGTTTGAATCCAACATTTTATATTTATTTTTTCAGTTTAATTTTAACAAGTCAATTTCGAGTCAAACACGAACACACTGTTCACGAGCTGAGTTCAAACACGAGCAATTTTGAATTAGCCGAACACAAGCTCGCTCAAGCTCGGCTCGTTTACATCCCTAGTACCGAGAGCATACAAAAAAAAAGTGAAAATTAAATTATGATTAAAATGTAAATAATTAAAATTTAAAAAATAAATTATTATGTGCTATAATTCATTTTTATTAAAACCTATATGTTTTATTTTGTATGCATTTTATTTGCGTTCAACATTATTGTCGATATACCAAGACAAAGATTCATTCAATGAGAAAATAAATTTGATTTTATTGACTTGTGATACAACATTTTTTATTTTAGTATTGTGCGAAATTGTCATTTCAGATAAGACCCAACATGACAACGAATTAGTTGTTAGAAACTCGTGTGTTTCGTCGTCCAAAATAATTCAATCGATGGGAAAGAAACGTCTGAGTCATATGATTCTACTCGGACAGAAAAAACAAGAGTGGGGCTTATACTTGCCACGGGAATGCCAAAAAACACCCTAAACGTACTAGACAGCCGCCTAAGAAAAGAAATTATGTTGGGCTACTTAGTTAGGAGAAGCAATAATACTTCCTCACTAGACAAGCAAAAATGAATGCAAAGTCATTAGGTGTGAAGTGTGTAGTTTATATTAGTATGATTGGTTAGATATCCATGCAAATGCAAATCATTTAAAATTGGCTCGGGGTTGTACAAGAATGTGATGTGCTTATTTTAAAATGATTTGATTTTAAAACTAAACTTCATTAAGATAAAATCTTACAATAAAGTTTTTTTATTAGGTTTTATCCTAAGAGGTTAATCTCAACTCTGAGCCCAAACAACAATAAACAAAACTAGAGTGAATAGCAACGCATTTCACAATATTAAAACACACTAAGAAAGAAAATAAACATATCAAGTGTCGTTGGGTTAACAACATATCACAACAAAGAAATATCTGTAGGTAAGAGACATTAGTAAATTGCTTCTGGTCCGGACCACATAATATTGCAACCACCAGCTACAAAATGAAGACCAGACAATAACTTTCAGCTTCCATAGATGTCGAACATCATTGTCACCACCCTTCAGTCACTGTCGACCACCAATAATAGTCACTTCCAGCTATAATTGACCGTCGTCGACCACTGCTTACGACTTTTATAACAAAAAAAAATGATAGTTTTTCCTAACACATGTATTTTTTTGTGTTGTATAAAGATAAATGCAGTGTTTTGTGTAAAATAATAGCCTCGCTCTTCCTGAGAGAAAGAGGTGATTCATCAACTGCAACCGTTATATCCATATAATATTATTGCAGTCACCAACTACGGCCTCCACAACCAGTTAATGATATAACAGTCACCAACCATGATATTTGTGACCAATTACTATCATTATAACTGCCAACTATAATCTATTTGAACAATTGATACTATTGTAGTCACCAACTACAACATCTGAGGCTAATTTATGACATTGCAACCACTCACAATGGCATTTATGACCAATTACTACCTTTAAAGCAACCAAGTACGATCTTTGCGATCAGCTACTATTATTATATTCTCCAATAATGACATTTGTGTCTAATTACCACTATTGCAATCAGTCTTTATATGTGATCAACTACTGCATTGGTAGCAACAATCTAAGACGTTTGAGGCTGACTATTGGTATTACAACCAAGAATAACATTCATTATAGTTCAATTACGACTATTATAGCTAAAATACATTTGTACAATTATGATTATCAGCTTTATAATTTCAGTTTATCCAATTCATGAGAAGAGTGAACATATGCACTCACAATTACATAGTGGATTACTTTGATTTGTCTAAATCCATGATTTTTTATCTTTTCTCACATTTTCCATGTAAAAAATCTTGGAGTCTCCTCTTGCTACTTATCTTTCATGTTATATGTTTGCACAACGCTAAAATGTTAAAATACAGTATTATCACCGCAAATTTCTGGCACACAACAACAATAAACATTGCATTAGGGATTAATTATTTAATGGTTAACAATATAATTTTGTTATATTATATTTCTTAGTAGAATGTTAATGAACCAAAAAATATTAAAATTGATGTCTAACATTAACAACTAAAAAAATATTATTAGATAGCATGCTATTAAACAACAAGTGTTATCATATTTTATACATATTAGCTTTCATGTTGCATATTATTTATTTATGAAAATAACCATTGAATGCATACACTTTCATTAGTTTTATTTTTTTATATTTTATTTTTTTTATGATAACCCAAATCAAAATTATATTTTTTGTTTTTATTTCAATTTTTCTTAGTCTCAAATTATCTTATTTATTAATTTATATATATATATATATATAT